GAATGGTCATCCTGCCTGGTCTGGCTTACTATCTGTCCTCCTGGAGGACTCTGCAGCTGGCCATGAGTCTTCCCTGCCTCCTGTTTATCTCATACCACTGGTACGAACACATTTTGTCGCACATATGCCAGGTTTAGTTTCTGCCTTCATGAAAGCACCAATGTTGATTCCAAATCTAATACAAAGATGTGTCTGCTTTTAAAGGCTTGTTCCCGAATCTCCACGCTGGCTGTTTTCACAAAACAGAGCCGGAGAGGCCATGAAAATTGTTGCAAACATCGCAAAATGCAATGGGAGATGTTTGCCACAAAATCTTCCAGAGGTACAGCAATATTTTTGAAATATTGAGAGTAGTGATAATTGTAGGAGTTGTGATTAGCATCAGGCAAAATCTGGAAATCGAATTTACCAAGTGTTCATTATGATATTTTTCAGATAACTGTCTTGGAGGAAAAGAAGGAGGTACACCCGGTATCATTTCTGGACTTGTTTAGGACGCCGGTTATAAGAAAAAACACAGTAATTCTAACTTATGCCTGGTAAGTCACGTTGATGTGAGTTATTGTGATTTTATATGGTTGTTATACACTACATGATGCTAACACACCATATGGATTTATGTGATGTTCCTCTGTTCCAGGTTTACGAGCACTGTTGTGTTTCAAGGCCTGGTCCTGCGTCTGGGGATCACAGGCGGCAATCTCTTCTTGGATTTCTTCATCTCTGCTGTGGTGGAGCTTCCCACCGGCTTCATCTTCTATCTGCTGGTTGACAGAGTCGGTCGACGCTCTCTAATGGCCTTCGCTAACCTCACTGCTGGCGTAGCCTGCCTCGTCGTCCCCTTCCTGTCCACTGGTAGGTGCAGCTGTAGCTTCATGGCTGGTAAAGGTAGAATGAATGAATAAAATAGAAATGATGCTTCTACTTGGACCCTGTTTTCATTCTTCTGTCTTCCCTGCAGATTTTTCCCGTTCAAGAAAGTTAATTGCAATCATCGGGAGGCTTGCTGTCGCCATCGGATTCGAGACTGTGAACTTTGCAAACACAGAGATGTACCCGACACCTCTGAGGTGTGAAACCATGTAGCGCTGATGGATATGGATGTTTTAAAATGTGCTGTGAAAGATAATAAGCAAGTTGTACTGGATGTGCACATCCGACACAAACACGGAGAGAGGAAAAGTGTTTCTGCCGACGCAAGATTTAAGAGGATATTCAAATCAAAGGGAAAAAGCAGCTTCTGCAGTTGAGGAGACAAAACAAACATTTATACCGACTGCAAGTACCAGCAAGTACACTGGAACCAGATTTTACTGGAAATATAAAATGGAAACAACAACAAAACACTCATCTTTACTACACACACCTTTCATTTTTAAAATCTGATTTCCATGTATATTTGTTCAGTCTGTGAACCTGTTTGTTCCAGACCTCAACAAGTATTTCATGGATTGCTATCAAGTTTTTACACTGATGGTTCCTCAATGACTTTATCTCATACGACTAGACACATTGCCATGATATGTGGTGAACACATTAATGCTCTCCTCATTTTTCAATGAAATAACTTTGGTAATCCAACAACTCCCTCATCAGGCTTCATTTTCCAGTTTAAACTAGTCTAGGTGGTTAGTTTATGACCATATATGTGTAAATCTACAGACAGTTCCATCAGCCTCAGCTGTGAAATGGAATTAGTGCTCGTTAATGTTAGCATGCCAACATGCAAAACCAGATACTTCTTTTAAAACACAAAATTAGCTCCTATATAATAGCCGCCAACTTTAAATGACACACATGTAATGGAAGCTAATAGGCTAAGCAGAAAAATACCTTAAATATATCAAATCTGTAATTTGACACGATAAAATTAATCTATTACTGAAATGGTCGTAATGTTCTAACAAAATACCTGTAAAAACTTGAGAAAAACAAATAGTAAAACAGAAACTGTTCTTCTTTTAAGTTTAACATGTAAATTATTACTTTTTTGGAGGGATTTCACTAAAACAGGAGACATCTGCAAATGAACAGCAAATTGGTCTGAAAAAGTCAAATATGTTGAAAATCAATGTCGAGTTTAGAACCAAGCATACATAAAAAATCAATTCTGTTTGACTTCATACCAGCTTCATTTTCATTGTCTTTCTGACAGGAATCTGGGTCTGTCAGTGTGTTCATCAGCGAGCGACATGGGAGCAATCGTGGCCCCGTTCCTGCTCTACAGACTGGCCAGTATCTGGATGGAGCTGCCTCTTATTCTTTATGGTGAGTCTTAAAACTCTCTTCTACCTGCCACCATTCATTTGAATATATTTGGTTGTTTAAATAGAATCCAAAGATGCTAATTTGACATATCCTTTGAGCTCTGAGAATAAAAAAAACCTGCCATATTTGCTGCAGGTGTGATGTCGGTGCTGTACAGTGCACTGGTGACGATGTTGCCTGAGATGAGCGGAGTCGCGCTGCCAGAGACTATCGAGGATGTGGAGAATTTGAAAGGGTAACTGGGTTTTACTGAAATTACACGATGAAATCTACGTTTGTCACTATTAAGCGACATTCTAATCCACAGCAGATGCTATTGGGTGGTAAGAGTAACAATGACATCCTAAAAATGATGGGTGGCCACAAAACAACGACAGCTCCTTGTTTTCCAAAAAATCTTAAAGATAATAGAAAAGAGAAAGCTAATGCAAGAAAAAGTCAAAACTGGAAGAGCAGAAAGATTCATGCTCGAATCCTTAATGCTTCTTTTTGTGTGTTTGTGTTTTTTCTGACAGGAAGGCAGAAAAATCAAAGGAGGGAAACGTCTTGATGATCTGATGAAAGCCTTGAAGAGCAGGAACATTAGTGGATTATTTAGAGATGCTCTGTGTTTACGCTGCACACGATGTCCTATTGTCTCCCGCTCATTACTGGAAGAACAACTGTTATCACACACTTGTGACATTATTATGGGGTGTTGACTGGTGATTTGCACTGGGAGGGAATGAAGCACATCTTTGCACCTCTCACCTCAACAGTGCCAATTTTCAGCTCTGAAAGTTATTTATATCTAGACTGTGCGATATCAACAGCAGAAATCTGTCTGATGTTTTCATTGCCTTTTGGTTTTATTTACAGTTGTGAACTAAAGTCAAGATAAACGTGTAAAGATCACGTATATCATGGCAGTCTTAAGTTTCCAATGACTCCTATGACTCCTCAGTTTCTTTGATGGAATCACTGCTTTTGTCACAAAAAAGGTGGATGTAAACTTTTGTCTACAGCTGTATGTCTGTTACTTGGCAGGAGAGCTTGAAAACCCATTTTAAAGCAACTGGTAGCAAATGGTTGGTCTTTTTTTCTACAGATGCACATTCAATTTGAATTTCACCACCATGTGGTCGTTTATAACACACTTTATATTTGGATTCTTGAAGAATAAGTTAGGCGACATTTTCTTGTTGTCAACAAATCCGAGGAAAAGAATCTTATATAGTTTATACCTCTGTGTCACAGAGCTGCTTTGTTCTCTAAGAGCCATTAAAAACCCATCAGTGGGGCACACAGAGGTAAACACTGACATGCTCCTTTGTTAAGCTGTATTTTATTTTGAGTCAGTGCTGCTGCACTAGTTCACAGTATCTGCAAATAAAAATACTCCAAAACAAATGCACTATTCTCTCCAGTTTGAGTAACACTCGCTTTAAACTGCAGCTGTTTTATGAAATGATTAATGATTTAAAAAATTGAAAGTATGCATCCACCACCTGTTTTTAAAGGAAGTCCAGATTAATCCTCAACTGTAATGCCTAGAGGGACACTGATTTTCTTCAAGGGAAATATGGCTGTTTATTTTAATTTTATTTTTAATATTTTCTCTGTTTATTACACTGCTTTTCAAATTTCATCCAGCCTCCACCAAACTTCCTAAATGCAACCAATGTTACTGTTTCCCCCCCAATTAGATGCAGTCCTTCAGAAATCATGGCCACATCAGTCACTTTGGTGCAGACCTGGATTTGTATGTTGTTTTATCATTTTTAAACTGCTTTTCGTTTATTTAAAAAAATGGAAAAATGTTGAAGATTATGTAACCTTGACGGGAGTTATGCTCTCTGAAGTGCAAATAAAATCTGAATCAGAATTATGCTGATGGACTGCAGCCTTGTATGTGTTTCTCAAATGGACCATCATATTAGAAACTACAATATTTTTCCCACTGAAGGACCTTCTCTGCATATCCCAACATCCAGACAACAATACCCTTGATTGTTTGCTTTTTTAAAATGCTATACTGTATATCTAATTGAGGGTTGTTTTTGTTGAGGCTTTTGTTCCATTGTAGGTTTACCCAGAAAGCCTTCAGAGCAGCCAACAAAAGCTGCCCCACATACATAGCGCTGACTGAATGGGAAGACATGTAACCATAAATTGTGCTGAAAATCACTGGTATGCATGAGAAGTAGGATTCCCTCAAGCGTAAATACCCGTGTCGCCGCGGAAAGGAGGATGGAAATCTCTCCTGGTGACAGTGAAAATGTTTCTGGGACTGCTGCACGCTGTCAGCATCGTGCTCATAAAAATATATTCTGAATAATCAAATCCTGCACTGTGAGAAACTCAAGTGAAAATGTCAGATTGAACTTGGCAGTGGACTAGAAAGATGGGAATCACTTGCTTGTGTCAGATGTATGATTAGGAAACAGTTTGCCTCACATAACAAAGATGCACTGACCTGTGAAATGAGGGCAGAGGGGTGTGGGGGCTTAAAGAGGGGATGAGGATGTGAGGATAAAGTAGGCAATTATGTTTAAGGACTCGCTGCAGAGGACAATGAGTTTATAACGAATGGGGGATAGATTGAAGAAGGGGCGGGGTCCCGACAGACGCAACGCCCAGGACACATTTTCTCAACTTTTCTGTCACAGGATATTTCTTTCTGTCTTTTTTTTCTGGAGGAATTTTGCACAAGCAAGTTGAGACTCAAACTTTTTAGGTGAAAAGTTGAAAAAATGCCAGAGGAGGAAGAACGAGAGAAACTGGCCAAAGTCATCAGACAGTGGAACAACAACAGACTGGACCTGTTTGAAATCAGCCAACCTGATGAGGTGGGTTGTAGACATGATCAATAAATCACACAGAACGTCTGTAACCTTCGATTTTGTACTTTCCACCAAGCTGCTTTCACCATCCAACGACATTTAATTACTGCTGTAATGTACTTTATTATTGTTACCTGAATGCTATTTTAGTGCTAAAATTAGTTAAATTAAACTAGCCGACTGACAGAGAAATAATCTTCAACGATTTAGATAGTTAGTTTTGCAACTTTTCAAGGAAAAAAAGTGTAAACTTGACCAGATTTTCAGGTTCTAGCTTCTGAAGTGGTAGGATGTGCTGGTGACATGCTGCTGCCACGCTAAAGAAATAAACGTTGCTTGCATAAAGTACAACAGTATAATTTTACAGTCACACATTGTAAATGAAAGATTACAATTTTTTAAAATACAGTTTTTTATGTGGATTTTTTGAATATATTTGTTTTACATTTAAAGTGTAAAATTAATGCTTTTTGTCTGTGGTTGGAATAGATAATAAAATCTGTAAAATAAATTAGAACACATTTTTTAAAAAAATCTGTAGTATAGACAATTTTTCTTCCAAAGCACGGCAAAAATCTGAAAACAATATTTTTTGCTGTTATTTTACTGTCAAGCGTTGTAAAAGAACAAATAACTGTTTATTAAAATCCAGATTTTTGATGCAGATGTTATTTATAGTTTTGTAACTTGTAATTTCATGTTTTTCTGTGATGTTACAAGTTATTATTTGTAAGTAAAGGAAATATTTATTATAACTGTAATTTTCTACAAAGACTACAATTAAAAACAGTTAAAAACATAAACTTTTTTACAGCGTACATCCTCCATGCCCCTCTAATTTGGCATGTGGTGCTCCACAGTTTGAGCATCTCCTGGTTTGAGGCTCTGTTTTGTTTTTGTGTTGCATCTGTTTGCTCGTGGGTCTCTGTTTGGATTTTGTTTGTAAGGCTCTAATCTAAAAATATGGACTAAACTGTTTTGGAATCTTACATCAGGTTAGGTGCTGGTGCGGTGAGATTCAGAATAGGGATCCTTCATAGGACCCTGAAAATGCTAAAGCCGGCCTTGGTAATGAAATACACATTTAGTTTTGGCTCACGCTGTGCTGCCATAGTTTCTATTTGTCTGTGTTCCAGTCAGCCCTCAACTAAACATGAATGTTCTTAACCTGAGCTGCCAAACGACTCCCAACTACTAATCTCATCAAACAGATTTCCTCTCATAGTATCGACTGCATTTCTGTTTTTAAGTTCAGATTTAAAGCTCGGTAAACGGTTTATTGTTTGGTTTAATACAAGTAGGAAGCGCAGCAGGAAAATCTCTCAGGGACATTTTAAAAGCTTTCTAAATTCCTGAATCCACTGCAGCACTTTCTAAAGAGCAGATTGGCCTATTCATTCTCCAAGCCTATTCAGCTCAGTGGTTTCAGAACACTTTAACATAGAGAAGTGTGTTTTTGTACAGAGGAAAAACGAATAAATTGACGGTTGAGAAAACACACTTAAAAACTGTCGCCTGTTTTCTGACAGAACCTGGAGTTTCACGGCGTGATGCGCTTCTACTTCGAGGATCATGTCGGAGGCAACGTTGCCACAAAGTGTCTGCGCGTTTGCAGCAACTCGCCAACTCATGAGGTCATTGAAACTCTCTCAGAGAAATTCAGGCCTGACATGAAAATGCTGACGACTAGTTACTCCCTGTATGAGATCCACACCAACAAAGGTAAGCGCTTTATTCATGATGTTGAATACAGGTTAAAGAAACTGCATTTAGATTATCGTCTGGCGGCTGCTTTGCTTCTTCGATGGACATGTAGGTAATAACTCTCACTATATATTGTTAATGAGGCTATGTAATTGTGGTACTTTGCTTCATTTGTCACAATTTATCAAATTGTTGAAGTTATTTGTCAAGTAAAATGCTGATTTCAGCCTCTAAAACGTAAAGATTTCCTGTTTAAGTATGTTTTTAGGGTAGTAAATTGAATATATATTGAATTTATGCACATATTGAAAACATAACTGCTGCTTGAAAAACAACAAAACATCTAAAATGAACTTGTGATGACTATTTTATCTTGTTTTCTGACATTTTAGAGATGAAACAAGAACTGAAAGCCTTCTGATGTTTACTCAGCATTAAAAAGAATTGTCAATTGCATTTCTAACCAAATATGTAAAAGATCAACACAGTACATGTTGTCCAGCTGTTCCACGCGCAGCTGCATAGCTGATTTAACAATATGCTCTTGCTGTTTTTTATGTGTTCTGTATGTGGAATAAGAACGCAAATTACATCCAGATGAGAAGCCTTTAGTGGTACAACTAAACTGGAACTCGGACAACAGAGAGGGACGTTTTGTGCTGAAGAAAGACAAGGACAGTTTGGAGGTAACCCCAAAATCCACAATACCTTGAATTTTGAAGTAATATGCTAATCGGCCGATGATTTCAGGTGCAGTTTTATACTTCTTCCACCACATATAACTTATTTATACTCTGTTTATGTGTTGAAACAATAAAGGAAAACTGTCATGAGAAACAGAAAGGAGGCGTGATCCAAAACTTTAAGAGGACGCTGTCAAGAAAAGGAAAGAAGAAAGAGAAAACTAACGGGGCTGACAAGGTGTCAGAGGATGAGAGCGGGTAAAATCTTTCATTATTTTTCAGACTACTAGTCACTGGCTTACTGTACCTAACCATCAAAATAACATTCCCTCCTTTTAAATTAATATCCAGGTCAGCTGAGAATCTACTGAACAACAACAGCATTTGTTTGTGTAGCCCTGAGACACAACAACATTGCACAGAATGTAAAAGGCAGCAGAAGCAGGCTGCTGTGGGTAAGTTATCGTAAACAGTACAGTGGAGTGCATGAACATAACTGTGTGTTTTCAGTACACACAGGACAACATATTTAAGTTTTAAGGTCAACATTATATAACATAAATCAAATAATGATTTAATGCAAGCTGCATTTCTCTGTTTGTTTCATCCTGACTTTTCAGATCAACCTGGATTACCAGTTGGAATCAAATTCTGTGATCACTGTGAGTATGAAACAAACAAACAAAAAAGCTTTCCTTCCACTGTGATATTTTTTAGTTTGATACATGCCAGCTGTGAGTTCACTGCCTTCCCTTCTCATAATGTCCTCCTGCCCCCTGCTGGCGTGTTTACATTTCAGCTGAGGAGCCCTTCCTGTCTGCAGTCATAAATTACACCAACAGCTCCACGGTTCATTTCAAGCTCTCACCTGCGTACATCCTCTATGCCGCCGGCCGGTTCGCTCTGCGGCGCCATCGCAGCCGAAGCTCTCCGCCCTCAGGACGCACGCACGGTGTAACCTCCATCACCAACAAAATGGTGGCCATGACAGCGAAGGTCATCCAGGCAAGTCCGGGAAAACTTGTGCTACATCTGCAAGGGCGAAAGTGAATCACAACATGAGAAAATAGTCAAATAAGCTGTCCAGAAATCACTTTTCAGATACTAACACTGACAAGTTGTCACACCTTTGACATCCGCAAAATATCTAGACACTCGAACTTACACAAGCCTGTCTTTCAAACAACAAGTCAGCAATGTTATCTTTAATCTAAATAATATTATAAGCATCAGGCACCAGTTGTTGCCATCTGCAGCAAAGCTTTTTTGTGCACACTTTGCTTTTCCTCATCTGTCTTACTGCAGTACAACCTGGTCAAAGGCAGGTGTGACTGCACTCAAGCTTGTGTAATCGCTCTATAAACAAATCCATAAAGTACTAAATAATAGCAGTCAAGCAATCATCATCGCTGCAATATCCTGAGAACATACAATTTCCTCAATTTTGAGAGCTTTCTACTGTGCTCAGACGCACGCCTGATGTTTAAATTAAGCTGATGGGGAACCGCAATTCAGAAAAACAGCCTTCAATCAGTCTGCTTTCTCAGGAAGCTTTGCGCCGTTGAAAACTGGCCTCAGGCTTCATGACAAGTCAGCAAAGAGGTGTCAGCACCAATAACTGTCTCATACTTATGGCATTTACCACACTGATACAATAATCATCTTTGACATATTTCGTTGTTCTATGTAGTTCGATGGTTGTTGTGGTTTTTTTGTCTGTAGGACAACAGATGTAAATGAGCTGCTAGCTAACTCTGCTGAAGTATAACTGTGCGTCATCAGAGCAAAAAGTCCTGTCTGCAGATGTTCTGTAAGTGTACACGACGCTGCTATGTGTGTTGTATCTGCCTTTGCAGAGGCAGCAGACCATCGCCGGGGCTCTCGCCTTCTGGATGGCCAACGCCTCTGAGCTGCTAAACTTCCTCAAGCATGACAAAGACCTCGGCCCACTGACACAGCAGGGCCAGCTGGACCTGTCCCACCTGGTTCATAAAGCCTACAGGTACAGATTGCAGACCAGCACGCGCTCAACGGATCATCCCAAAACCTCAACGTGGACCGATCAATAGATTAGATGTCAGCTAGTACATTAATTGCCAGCTAAGTTGATTATGATTTTTTTTTTTTTTTTTTTTTAAATAAGCTAATAAAGTGATTCTCTTTGGATTGTGGGCAAAATAAGACATTTGAGGATGTCTTGTTGGGCTTCAGGAAACACTGAAAGATATTTTCAGAACATTTTTAGAGACCAAACAACTAATCAATAAATCCAAAAATAAGCAATAGATTAACAGTTTTTAGTTGCAGTCCTGTGTCACTTTATCGAGCAGTTTTCCTCCTACTTTGTACACATTGTCAATAGATGTGTTTATAAATCTGACAATAATAATTTACTTACTCCATGTACACACGTTTATATATATATATATATATATGAGAATTTTGACTACAGAAAAGTCAAAAGTGTCTGAAATGTGTGAAAAAATGTTTATACAAGAATAAAATGAGCAGAATCTGATGTATTTTCTGCATATTTGTACCATATTTTGTTTTTATTCCCCAAAGTTACCTGCTTCAGTGTCTACAGAATGAGCTGAGGAAACATTTGCCAACTTTTCTGATCGATCCTGAGCAACACGGTCCGCTGCCAGCTGGTATAGGTACATATTTGATTATTCACTTCATAAAGTCGGCAGATATAATTATATTCAGTACATTAGCCTTGGAAGAGCTGTGAAGTTTCCAAACACCTTCTTTTGTTGTGTCGTGACAGAGATGGTGCTAAACACCCTGATGAACGCCATGTCTCTGCTGCGCCGCTGTCGGGTCAACCCAGCCCTCACCATCCAGCTCTTCTCCCAGCTCTTCCATTTCATCAGCGCCTGGCTCTTCAACCAGCTCATGAGCCCGGAGGCCAGCGCTCCAGGCCTGCGCTCCCACTACTGGGGGGCTGCTCTCCGCCAGAGGCTCACCACCATCGAAGCCTGGGCAGAGCGGCAAGGTCTGGAGCTGGCTGCCGACTGCCACTTGGGACACATCATCCAGGTATGTAGCTACCTGCAGTGCATGTCAGAATACAGGAAAAGCAAGATTTAATAAGAAATAGGTGATCGGCGTCTTATACCACCCAAATGCTACAAGTTTCTACCTCAAAAAATAAACTAAATCTGAATCAAGTGCTTTCTCTCCAACTATTTTATGTCTTTTTTGGTGAAATAATACATTTCTGACCTCTGAGATTTCATTTACAGTGTCAGAGCACACATTCTATTTGGTACAAGCTGTTAAAATAGCTTTGCCTGCCTGTTTCTAGGCAACCACGCTCCTGACCATGAATAAGTACTCAACGCAGGACGCGAAGGACATCCAGAGTACCTGTTTCAAGTTGAACTCACTGCAGCTGCAGACGTTGCTCGCCGGCTACCTCTATGCAACCAATGAGCCTCACATCCCCCCTGTGAGTACTCTGAGCCTGTTCTTCCACTCCATTCATACTCGCAAAGCCAAAGAGATTTTTGACAGCAAAAAGGAAAAAAGGCTGTAGAAATACTGGCGCAACTGATTATACCGAATATTTTGGGTATTTAAGGGCCATTTGGTGTCAAACACAGACATAAGCTTAAGGTTTGCAGTGAGAGCTTGTGAAGGGAGCAGGAGCTTCAGCAGAATATATTTAACGGTATGAATAATTAACAAAGATTAATAATATCTGAAGAATAGTAAAGTGAGTTGTCATTTTACCTTATTGCTTTTGGGCGTGACATATTTCTCTAATATCCTGCTGAATGTGAGGTGTGGAGAACAATGCTTGCTGTGAATATCCGTCCCATATGTGACAAAAAGCAATATCAAACCTCTCACTGAGACAACAGGGAGGTTATTTTGTAAATGTGCAGCGTACAACTACCTACTGAGACTCCAATATAGGCTGGGATTGTAATAACCCAACAGAAAAACATCTTTTCCATGAAAAAAAAGCAAAACAAATGCAACCACAACCTGGCCAGGAATATGCTGCCAACCCAAATTTGTCTCTAACACCTAAATCCAAAGATCAGTGCTTGTATTTTATCACTATCAATATCAAAAGCATGAAAGCATCACACATCAGCCAAAGCAGCTTCAGTTTGTGCTTTTTATGAGCATTTGAGATTTGCAATCGCTATAAACCATAAAGTTCTTTAACAATACATACCACTAGTTTGAATCAGGCACCTCTTTTATCAATCACAACCAAAGTTCACAGACTTTTAAAATGTATAACTAACCAATATTTATCTGCTTTAACATCTGTTGCATCCATTTATATTCATACTTGGCTTGTGTTGCACATAAACAACCAAGAGATGCATTTATTTCTGTTTGTTTGAATGAGATAACACAGACACAGCAATGACTTTTGTTTTAAAACATTTTAAAGAAGTGCTATTTCAGCCACTTGCAAGACCATTTGCATGTATATTAGTAAGAAAAAACAAGAAACACGATTTATTGCAGGATTTTAGTGTTAGGGTGAGTTAGTTGGAGGCTATTAAACAGTAAAAATAATTGAGGACAAATTAGCTGTTGTGTTACTTAAAAAAAAAAAAAAAAAGACTACAAATTTAATACAAAATAGCAAACACTTACTTACACAAAATCATAAATTCAGCTGTTATGACCAAAACAGAGCAGCGTTAGCCGCCTCTTTATGCTAGCAGCCGCATGAAGCTAGCTTCGCCTAGCACAGAAACACTAACTGGAAACAAACTACTGTGAAATAAGCCGAAAAAATAAAAACATAGCAGCAAATGCTTACCTTCCTGAAGTAAAACACTGAGCAATACCCCCAAGCTGTCCTCGACAGAACATAAACATCCAGAATCCGAAGTAAAGTTACCATCCGTGTCTGTTGATGTGAAAGGCTAGCCGGCTAACCAGCGGCTAACGGAACGAGCCTTCTGCGGCTTCAACTTAAATGTGCCGCTCTCTGAATTTAGTGTCAAATATTTCTCCCACTTTGTCTGTTACAGTACTACTAAGGTGCACACTGCAGGTATTACTTCGAGCAGTACTGCAACAAAAACATGGGAAAGCAGGCAAAAAAATAATAGCACAGCAACTTTAAACTGCACTTGTGAAGTTGTCTCCATCCCTATTGCCATGGCTACTGTAGCCATGGCAACTACAACTGCCACCACTACTGCCTCCGTACATACAACTACCTATTTTAAAATATATATCCTAATGTAAAATACATGAAGGCATAAATATTCACCGTCCTCCAGTCTGTATGTAGTAGATTCACCTTGGATTGTAATTACAGCGTTGAGTCTGAGCGGACAGGCCTCAGTCAGCCGTACACATCTGGACAATTTTACACCATTCTTCTTTGCAAAACTGTTCAAGCTCAATCAGGGCTGTTTTCCAGTCCAGCCATAAATTCTCAGTTGGATTAAGCTCTGGCCTCTGACTCCATAATATTCATATTGTTTGCATCGGGTCATTCTCATCCCGAAAAACAAATGTTCTCCCAGGTTGCAGTTCTCTTGCAGACTGTAACAAGCTGTCCTGCCATACTTTCTTATACTTTGCATTCATTTTACTGTGTACCTTCACAAACCTTCAAGGGCCTGCGACTGAGAAGCATCCCTGCACTATAATGCTGCCACCACCATGCTTTATGGTGGAGATGGTGTGTTTGGTGTTTGGTCGTCTGATGCCGAAAAAATCTCCATTTTGGTCTCACCAGATATCTGTGCCACTCTCCCATTCAGTTCTGACTGATTAAGAACCCTTGTTGTTTACGCAGTCTCTCCCATCTCAGCCGCTCAGGGTTGTAACTCAATCAGAGGACTCGTAGACGTCTTGGTGGCCTCACTCACTTGTATCTTTCTTAGACGGTTTTTGAGGACGGCCTGCTCGAGGCAGATTTATGCCATATTCCTTCCATTCTTGCTGATGGATTTATCTGCGCCCCAGGGGATATTCAGTGACTTGGAAATTTTCTTGTATCCATCATTAGACCTGTGCTTTTCAATAACCTTTTCACTAAGCTGCTTGGGGTGTTCTTTAGTCCTCATGGTATACTTATAGTCAGGAGTACTGATTCACCGATCACTAGAACTTCAAGATACACGTGTCTTTATTCTACAATAACTCGAAACTCGAGAAAGGAAACTAAAACTTCAGTAAAAGGAACTCAGGAAAGCTTCACTGATAACAAGACACGTAAGTGACTGAGCCATCCTGATTTCATATCATTCCAAGTGCTGGGGAGCTGCAGTTAGATATATAATTGGGAGAGTGGCCATAAAGGGCCTTAAATACAATCTTAAACTCTATCCTACAACATAGTGGGAGCCAGTGTAAAGACACTGAAACAGTGGTGACTCGATTACCTCTCTTGGTTCTGGTTAAAAGTCTGGCAGCAGAGTTCTGTCCAGTCAGTCAATACATTTTTGGTTCAGGCAGGTAAAAAGTGCATAAAATGCTCTCTGTGTCTTCAAAACTTAAGATGGATTGCATATTTTTATGATCAAACCACACCCCAAGATTTTTTTGCAACAGGCTATGGCTTATATCTATACTGTATTTACAATTAGCCTACAGGAGTTAAATAAATGTCGTGCAAGTTCAGTTTTAATGCAATAGAAGTAAAGTATTAAGTAGCACAAAATGCAACAACTCAAGCAACACAAGTATGGCTATTCACTGTAACTACAATGTCTGCTTCAACCTGTTTATTACGACTGTCTCTACAGCTGGTACTACCACTGGCTTTATAGGGTCGTTGTTATAATATTACTTTAGTGTCACGCTTTCACATTTTGCTGCGTCTGCATGGAGGTGAGAGTTCAGGATCATCTTCAGGAGTCGCAGCAGGCAGATCGGATGAACCTCCCCTGAAGCCTTGTCACACGATGACAAATGCCCATCTCCTCTATGCTCTGGATCGACCTTTTCCTGAAATATTTCCGCTGTCCGATCCACTGTCTGTCGTCCTCGCTGCAGGATTTGATCGATGCCGTAGTGGCTGCTGCCGAGGCCTCGGCAGATAACCTGATTCGCAGCGAAGGACGGGACATCCAGCTGGAGGAGAGCCTCGACCTCCACCTGCCCTTCCTGCTGCCGGAGGGAGGATACTCCTGTGACACCGTCAGAGGAATCCCTCAAGGGTTTGCAGAGTTTATGGAGCCAATTTGCCAGAAAGGTAAAAGGATCCTGACTTCATGTGCGAGGGGTGAATGATATTTAAAACCTAACATTAATTCTTGGTTAATTATTTTACATCTTTGTCTCCCAGGTCTCTGCTCTTTGACATCCCAGCTGAACCCTAAAGGTGACTGGATGGTGCACTTCAGTGAATCTGCAGCTTCTGAAGAGAGAACGTACTTGGTAAATAAAACCCTGTATGTGCTGAAATATGCTGTAAGCTCAGGTTAATCATGTTCTTTCTATCTTTGTGAACAGGCAGCACACAGACAGCCAGAGGTTGTGACCATCACACTGAACAAGCCTCTGAACAGTGGGATGGGGGTCAGCATTGTGGCTGCAAAGGTGGCTTTCTAAACTCCCATCAAAATGTTATTTCTTCTTAATTGCACCTATTCAAACATGAAACCACCAGTAAAGTGTTTCAGTGAATGATCAGCGTCTTTCTGTCGTTGCTGCAGGGAGCAGGCCAGGCTAACCTTGGCATCTATGTTAAATCTATTGTGAGGGGCGGACCGGCTGAAATGGTGAGAGATAAAGCCTGTTTGATCCAGCTGAACTCGAGATGTGAAATGATTTTTTTATGAAGCTGCACAAGGAAACTACATCGCGTGTCTCTCTTCTGAGCAGAACGGCAGGTTGACGGCTGGAGATCAGCTGCTCAGCGTGGACGGTCGAAGCCTGGTCGGACTCAGCCAAGAAAGGTAGAAACACAGCAGCCTCGAGCGCAGTTCACAGAGAAAAGACGACGTTTTTATCCTTTTGTAGGGATGAAATGTCTCAACTACAAGATGGCTGCTATGAAATATAGTCCAGATACTCATGGATTCCTAATCATATTGTTGATCTCTGATCTTTCCTCTCGTACCACTGTGAGGTTGTGTTTGTCTCGTCTACAGTTAATCCATTTCAAATTAAAATCATTTAAAACAATGCAAATAGCAAATCACAAAGGCTGCGATTTTATATATAGATCATGTCTGCCCTTTAGCTTTTTTAAAATTATTATTTAACTTGAATGTGTAATGATGCTGCTCTTACTTCAATCTCAGAAGTAGTTTATTAAAAGGTCCTATTAGTTTGAATTTTTCTTAATTATTTGTTATTATTACTTTATTTAACTTAACACAATGACAGCTTTTGTGAGAATTCAAAAGCTGCACAATTTAAAAAGAGATTAAACACAAGTTTGAGGCATTTTGCATCTTTCGGTTCTCATGTTCGGTTCATGTTTTTATTTCTGCTAATAATCCATCACGTTTTACATCTATTGCACATAATTACTGAACTAAAACATTAAAATATATAACATGCAAAATCTTAAATCACAGCACGCAGTATTTCTTTTTCAGAAAATGTTCTAAAACCTTTTTTCAGGCAGACTGCAGGTAGGTGGTTGAGAGTGACGCGTTCTTTACTTTAAAGAGTGTTTCAGTCCAAGGTCGACGTTATCTTTGAGCTTTTCTTGCTTTTCTAACTCATCTTTTGATTCAGGGCAGCAGCGATCATGATGCAAACCGGCCCCGTTGTGACCTTGCAGGTTGCCAAGTTCGGAGCGAGCTACCACGGCCTGGGGGCTCTGCTGAGTGAACCAACTCCAGAAAGAACCACTGGTACGAATACGCCACAAGCCACATCTCTGTGTTTTTTTTCCCTTTGTGCCCTAATTAATACTTCTCGTTGGGTCACAAGGCGATCAAGGCCACGCTAAGCCAAACGGTAAGGCGCTTGTGCTGTACGGTGTCATGGATCCTGGACACTCAGAGCAGCTTCACGGAGGCAGCAGAAGGCAGAAAGACCTGATAATGCAGAGAAACAGACAACTGTATCGCTCCAACCCCAACATGGCCGGTGGGTGCACTAGTGTTCTGATCACTTATTGCTGCTGGGAGCCTACAGCACTCAGCTTTAATGTGAAATACAGTTAAAAGCTTGTGGGTGAGTCATGAGAACAGCTCCAGCACTTTGATTCTTCCTCCTTCTTCCAGCAGACATCGGCCTGGAGGATGAAGATGAACCTGCTGACCCTGTTGTTAGAAGAAACCACAACGCTTCTGTTTCCAGCATCAACCTCTGCACTGATGTGAGGACCCCAGTTTGTGGTGGCGAAACACTAAAGCGGTAGAAATAGAATCAAGAATCATTTGTTGACACCAAGGAGTTCAACTCATTGAGCTCAAAAAATTGGAACTTTTGCCAACTTTCCAAAATATCCACATTGTCAGTGTTTAAAGAGCCCATTTACACGTTTATAATTTTATATCAGGGTCCACTCGGATTTGTTTACATGCTGTAATGTTCAAGAAAAAAAAATTCTTTTTACTTCTTCACTTCTTTTAAATTTCTGTCTGAAACACTCAGTTTTAGCTCCTGTCTCTTTTAAAGCCCCCTCGACCAAAACGGCCAGTTTGCTCTGATGGGTCGGCTGGGTTGACGAAAGCGAGGTGGTTATGTTTTGTAACCCCAACCTTTACATATTGGTCTGTGGCCCGAACAGAATGAGCTCTAGTGTTACAATAATGGCAGACTACGATAAAGCTGCTTGCGCTTTGTTTAAAGGAGTTATGCAAATGCGTTACGTGGTGATGTAAATAAGTAACGGAAGAAAACCCTGGACATCAGACGCGGTGTTTCAGGCAGGTAAGAAGCAGTGTTTTCTGTGAAAGAGAATAACTTTGTAGGTTTACAGACCTTTTTAAAAGGCACAAAAAAGCTATAAAAAGGCAGAAAAAGAAAAACCCAAACAGCATAATATGGGCTCTTTAAAAATACTGTATTTGCCATGGTCTTATTCACACACTGCCAGAAAAGTCTATATTTCCAGAAAAGGCGATTTTTTTTTTCCCGCTCCACTTTTGATGTTTTGGACTGTAGCTTAAACATTTTGTAAGAAAATAAATACAATTTATGATTCTGTTAAACATTCACAGTGAATGGAAAGATGGTGTAATTGTAAAAAATACACTGCTTTTGTGTCACAAATGGACCAATTTTTTGTTTTTGTATTCATATTCAGACACTTCACAGGGAATACTTGACACTTCCGACCCCTAAATCCCAGAACAAGAATGTTTCTGAATCCAGCCGACCGCAGCAAACATTTAAAGTGTCTTTGAGACCTTTGGATGGACAGAGATCCAGTAAGAGGACCTTCATGGTAAGTCCTAATGTCTCTGTAGCAATAAAAGTCAACATTTAGACAAAAATTATTCAAGTGCAGCCAAGTAAATGCTATTAAACGCTCTGTATTCCCTCTAAAGCGCCAAGCCCTGTCGCAGGAGAACTTGTGTATGGACAGTGGAGGCCCCCTGCTGGACAAAAGGCAGAACACGTGGGTGCAGAAGGACCAGGGTGCAAAGCAAACCGCCAGCCACTATTCATCTTTCCCGATTCGCTCGAGCGTTTCCACCCACGACATCCTCTCTGACAGCAGCTCTCCCACAAAACAGCAGCAGGGCAGTCGCACAAGTGGCGCCGGTGTCTGGAGAACCCCCTTCTCACAGCACTCCACACCGACACCTTCAGTCCAGCCGATACGCATCGACATCCCCATAACCAGAGCAGTGAGCACGCAGTCACATCCTCCACTCACCACCTTCCAGAAGATGAGCCAAACTCTGAAAGTCAATGGACAGACACAGAGTCCTCATATATATGCGTGTCCAGTTCCTGCGATTAAGAAGCTACCTCAGCCCTCGCTGTCATCACAGCAGCAGAGAGGAAGCACACAAAGACCACAAGCAGCCAAACCCCAAGTGAGCATCACTCCTACAAAGCACGTCTCCTTCCAAGAGCCTCCCTGTCAGCAGAAGAAGAGCTCAGGCCCAGTGAAGCAGAAAGACCCCCGGGAGCTGCCCGACCCGTGGAGGAGGGAGGCCCAGGAGAAGCTGGAGAAGCAGCAGAGGCTTCAGGTGGTGGAGCTGCTGGAGCAGGAGGTGCAGGAGCTCCAGGCCAAAGCAGAGCGCACGGCGGAGGAGAGCGACCGACTCCGGAAGCTCAGCCTGGAGTGGCAGTTTCAGAAGAGGCTGCAGGAGGTTCAGCAGAGGGGAGAGGATGAAGAGGAGGAGGATGAAGATTTGAACATGATGGTGACGCTGCAGCAGCTGGAGAAAAGAGCTCAGGTGAAGTGCAGCTCACGGGCCGAGGTTAAAGAGAGAATAGAGGCAACGCTTGAGTTTTTTGGGTAGATTTTGAGTTCACAACATCCTGCGTAAGACGGTGATACTAAAGGTGCTTCAATTAGTGGCAAAGAATATCTGGAAAATGTACATATTGAGTCAGGAAATTGCATAAAAGTTTTATCCAAACAACTTATAAAAGCACAAAACATTATGAGCAACACCAGAAGCACACAGGCTCTGATTTTTCCATTTAAATTTACACATATAATAGCTTCTATTATTATATTAGAACGGAATCTGAGATTTAAAAAAATCATTTAGATTTTTGTGTACTTTGCAACCTAATGCTGCAATACGTTATGAAAAATACACCAAAAAGTTACATAATTAAGTGATTAGTAGCTTAAAATGTTACGTTAGAATCGTTTTATGACCTTAGCAGCAAAGATTTTCTAGAAAATGTACATATTAAGTAAGGAAAGCATATAAAACATTTCATCCGTGTGCTTCTGTAACGGTGGATTTTAAAGCAGATATTCAAAAATAAAACACAGTAATCTATATCCAAGTATTTTTTCCATGTTTAGAACAAGAAAAGTCTCAGCGGGAACAACAACAGGGAGTGTAAAGAGCTGGTAAAGCAAGCAGGAGCTCAGCATTCCCCAAACGAAGACAAAACAAAGACAGGTAATAATAAATGAACACATTAAAAAATATAAAAATTTAAGCTGATTTTCTTTTATTCAAAACAGCTTTTGTTCATCTGACATTTCGTTTCCATGTTTTTTGCAGATCAAAAGCCAAGTGGACCAAGTCGGGATGTTCCCAACGTGGCATCAAGAGAGTGAGTTTACAGTTTATGGCACACGAAGCTAAACAGTCAAATTAAATCTGACTGAACACTCGGCTGTTTATGCAGCTTTTTTTTTCTTTTCCATACCATGATGCTTAAATGTCCATGTGCAAGAAAACATCTTAATTCTTTCAAACACTTCAAAAGAATTTGAAAGAACATCCCTGAGTACAACAAATCTGCAGATGACCGTGCATAAATATATTTTAAAAAACAGCACAGGCTGCGTGTGTCCCCATAAGAAACTAAATTCAAGTATTTCTGTTGTGTGTTTGCAGTAATCAGCGGGAGGAAATCAGGAGAGTGTCTGCTCCGGAAAAGCTCACCTTCAAGGAGCGGCAGCATCTCTTTTCTCTGGCGTCCAGTGCGTAAAACAAGCCTAAAACCTTGGAAGCACAAACCTCCGAACAGAAAAAATGTCTAAATAAAGAAATTTAACAATCCGCGAGGAGAACAAATGTACAGCACCACACGAAAAGGCAGCAGGAGAATGCATTTATGGTAGAAATGTGTGACTTAGTCATTTCAAGATCAGTATTGTCTGTTAAAATCATTTTTGGAGATTTGTCAACAGTTTAAACATTGTTTTTCATATTTTCCAGATAATAAACTTTTAATTTAGTAATAGTTAATATTATTTTATGCTTATTTACTGTATAAATCGTTGCTGTATGTTGCTAAACTTCCTTCCATTAAAGTTACTTTGTGCGCTGATAAAACTGCACCACTGCTTTCTCTTGTTCGTGAGTTTCAATGGAACCTCGCCTCAGTCTGCGGATCTCGTTGATCGCGTCGATCCCTGAAATCTTCTTCGTCTTCACCAGGTAGCAGGCCAGCATGGTCCCCGTTCTCCCGTGACCGTGCATACAGTGAACTCCCACGCCCTGACGACAAACAAGGACCGCATATATTTGCTTCAGTCAACTGTAGCAAAGCAAACATCCTGCAGTGAGGAGACAGATATTTGCATTTGTCTTTACAAACAGAGCTGAAATCATTCTCATGTCATAACTGTGTGCTAGCTGAATGTGTTTGGTCTTTAGACTGTTAATGAGACCAAACAAGAAACCATGAGACGTATTTTCTCTCATTTTATGGGACAATTGATGAATTTGTAAATGGGAAAAATAATTGTCAGACAAAATTATGTCAGAAACAAATACAACCAGGTGAGCTTTGTGCAGATCTTGGTGCTGACAGCTTCTGTGAAAGTTGCACAAATAGTATGCAGGCTAGTGTTCTAACTAGAGGTTCACTGATGTGTTTTTGTAGGACTGACAGTGATGCTAATTATTAGTAATCAGGGAGACAGATAACTGATATACATTATAAAATATTTGCTGTCAAAATATAGAAAACCACCAACTCCAACACAATAACTTTGTTGAAATGCTTTTTGTTTTAAAGAGGAACCTTTAAAATCAGAAATCCTTTAAAAACGACACAAATAATGTAAAATGTACGTATATCAGATCCCATCATGATAAATTATTTTAAAGCTTTTCCTCTTGTGGACTTTGGAGGGAGGTTGTGAAATATTTCCTTCCCTGCTACTGCTTCAGGGCTTTCGTGAATGTCAAGTAAACTTGATGCCAGATGTTTTAGGTTACAGTGCTGTGCAACCCCTGGAGAGTTCTGAAAATACTACATAAACATCCATCAAACACAGCTGGCCGGTATCTGAGATCCTACCTCCCCCTTAGAGTTGGCTTCTTCCACGATGGAGAGGAATCTGTCGATCTGACTCGGTGAAGGAGGAGTGAAGTCGACTATCTTGATGTGGTGAAGCTGCAGCTCTGGACACGAGTCGTAGTAAGGTGGCTTCCTCTCACACAGGCAAACCAGGTGTTTGATGCCATTGTCCAGCAGGTACTGGTATTCACATGTCATCTTGGGCAACGCCAGGCCGGCCAGTTTGCCGGATTCCACCCAGGAGAAGTTGTGTGGAGCAGAGGAGGCCATGGGTGTCGAACTGGGGAGAGGAAACAGAGACGGAGAAGTCAGTTTCATACAACATCTCTAGATAAAGCACAGGTGGATTTAGGAAATATATAAAGGGATCAGGAAATAGTTCTAATGATAGACTTACTTTTAGAGACAAGGGTTTTGACAGACAATATAAAAGCAGGATACATAGAAGGCAAAATAATAGTTAACAGAAAGGAAAAACAAAGTAAAGCAAAATTAAGATAAAGTTAATAGAAGATCATAACAGGCCACACTTACAAAATGGATTATTTCAATATTATTAACTACTAATAAAACAATAAAAGCAACAATAAGCTTAATAAGACAACAAAAAAGACAAAATATAGACAGTTCCTGCATTTTTAAGCACCACAAAGTTCATGGAGCTGTGGCTTAGTCAGGAGACACTGATAATAAATTAGAGTTTTGCATCTTGTACTCAGCATTTTCAGCAAATATGACCTTGTTTAATAATGCAAACAAAGCATCTAAGAGCTGTGGGAAGGTGTAAAAAACAGACACACATGAGCAGGAGTGTCTCACAGTGTCAGTGTGTTAGTCTGGTAAACATTAGCACAGCACCACAGGTTAGACTCGACGGTTCACTGAAGCTTGAGTTTGACAGCAGTAAATATTTCAACGCAACAAGACACAGGCTCGGTGTTACAACACTGCAGGCCTCACCAAAAACCACACTGTTTAATAGAAATGTTAGAAAACAAGACATGAAGGTAGCACCTAGCTCAGTTAATGTACACACAAACTAACCTAGCAGCCTTTTAGCAGCTTCGTAAACGTTGCTAATGCGAGCCAGCTTGACTATAAACATTCATTTCCTCTCTATTACCAGCAATAATAATATTAGTACCTCACATATTACCTATAAATATTTTTCTGAGGCTCTCGTCAAACCGCGCTGCCACCTAGCTGGTTGGTTAAGCTAGCTGCTAACTAGCTAGCTACTTCGACGTGCTAACTACGACAGTAAAGCAACGTATAGATGTTATATAACCGAGGCAGGCTGGAGTCTGTTGCACGTTGAGGTGTGGCAGTGTCAGCCAATCCATCAGCCTTTGATGGATAACAGCTGTCATTGCAAATCAGATTCTGTGAAGCAAAATCAACTTACTTCAAGTGGTGGAAAGTTAGCCAACTGGTGGTGGTTAGCAGACAGACAGGAGACCCTCATGACCCCGGAACAGCATGTTCGGATGAATGGTTGTTTTAGCGAACGTCATTCATTCATATTTTCGCATGTATTTTTCTTTTTTTACATCATATCTACAAAACTAAATCATCTTAAAAATAATATGTCTGTGGTGATATGGTACATAAGACAGCCTGGGAGAGCATATAAACAAGTCAGGATGGCCGAGCGGTCTAAGGCGCTGCGTTCAGGTCGCAGTCTCCCCTGGAGGCGTGGGTTCGAATCCCACTTCTGACATAAACCTTTTTTTACACCCTGCATGTTTTTCAGTCTATGGCACATGAATCAAATAAATGGTTTTAAAATTCTGGTTCATTCCTGATATTATTATTATTGTGCCTTCCACTATTATTATAATATGGTTGTGTGTTTAGGTCAATCAACAAAAATACTTGTTTTCCACTGGGGTGATGGTGCTCATTGTTGGGCACAGCAAGTCTAAATTGACAGGCTCTTGCTACTGCCTAATAATTCTTATTTAACATTTAAAAGGAGGAATAATACAAACGCAGAATGCAAATGGTTTTCTTTTTAGATTAAAAAAAAAAAAAAAGAAGTTAAAAATCTAATTTTAGTTGTTCGAAAAGGGTTCAATTTATCCAACTGTGCACAAACTAATATTCAGGTACTCAACTGGTGATGAATCCTCAACCATTGAGATATTTCACACCATCATCAGGTGTGGCTTTACAGGGCTGGTAGCATGACCAGGATACAGACACGACCTTTGCTGGCTACCGGAGAATGCAACCTAAAAGTGCAGCTTTATTCAAATGATTCAAGGCTGTTGGCATGTTGGGCGAGTCATGGCCAGACACTTAAAGGTCCACAATTTGTCTTTTAAGAAGAAGTTTGGCACAGCTCTTGATGTCCGATAACATGACCCTGTCCCCTAATAAGGTCTGTCAACCTCCCCGAGTCCTTCAGGAAGAATTGGACGGTGTTCTGCAAACCAGCACCGAAGCGCAGCTTTAATTCAAAGTGTGGCAGATGTGTGACTTGTTACTGACTTGTGATTTGGACTCTCAGTCATTATCACTACAATACAGGGCGTACTTGGTTGTTTCATGACATTTGTTCCGTCGAGATGCCGAGTGTTGGAACAACAAATACGTATTCCCATAGAACTGAACAAAATGTTGCATGCTGCATTTATATTTTTGCTCCTGCATACATTTAAAATACCAAATGATATTTGGAAAGTACGCGTCCTCCACACAGTTGCGTTCAAGTACCTCTAGGGGGCAACGCTCTTTATAAATAGTGAAAACAAATGCTTGGGCAGTTGATTATTAACTGCTCGATGCACTGCTGCAGCCATTTTTAGAAACCTAGAATGGGAAACCAAGCACTTTTCAACATTGATTTAAAACTGTCTAAAGTTTGAGATGCCAAAAATGGCACAAACAACAATTTTAAAAAGTGTAAAAATGGTATTTGCATGCCAGTACGGTAAGATAAAGGTATGAAAGTTTGAGCAGAACATGCAGAGGCGATAATGTCAGGCTGATTTCTAAAGATTTAAACTGGTGTTTAGTTTGTATTTACGACTTCAAACAATCGACACAAAAAGTTTGATCCCTTCTGCAGCTACAGTAAACATCTAATTACTGTAAGATTGTGAAAATGCCGTTTTGAATCTGTCCCCGGTGTTCTTTATACTGTAGAGATGTCCTTGTTGAGTCTGCATTGAATCATTTCTTGTTTTAATATTTCTTTTTTTCACTTCCAGATCGAGGCTGCCCCTGTTCCATACAATCTCCACATGAAAGGAAAAGAGAGAAGAAGACCGTTTGTCCATTTTCATGCAATAGTTAATGATACAAACACAAACATTCAGAACTCACAGCACAGCACAGTTTACTTGCTAGTCATTTTATACAAAGAGTAGAAAGAGGGTTCGTATCTGAAGGAGACAAACTGCATCACATTTGCCAGATAAGATGTCGATACACAGAGACTGATTTTTCAGAAAGGTAAAGGTGTAAATAGAGTCACAGAGTCGAATGTTTCAAACATCCCATTAAAAAAGCTTTCACTAACCTGTTGGTGTAAAAAAAAAGAGAGAGAGAGAGAGAGAGACTTCACGTACAGTTATAGAAAGATATCTAGGTCAAGTCGGAAGAAACACAAAATAAACAACAACTTAAAAAACATTCCAATAATCAGGTGGCGTCTAGTGGTAGGCGTACTTTTGTTTGCTGTCCTACGGTGCTCGAGCCGACCACAAACCATTTAACAGAACATCTGGAAGTCCCAAAAGAACCACAAAATATTTTTTTATTTTATCTATTTTTTTTGTTTGTTTGTTTGTTTGTTTGTACACATCACAACCTGAAGACTTGACTGGTTGTCCATCAGTTCTCTGGGTGGTTATCATCACACGTCACATCATCATCATCATCATCATCATCATCATCATCATCATCCCTTTAGTGTCATCTAAAAGCCCCTCAACATGCCGCACACCCCTCAAAAAAAGCAATCACAACCCCTGTAATGGTTACATGTTAACTCTGTGGTTTTAATTTGTGCACTCTTTAGGTGCCGTTCGACAAAGGGGGCAATAATCGCCGTGCCCTCCTACTAGAAGATTTCTACGTATTTTGAACGTCCACGTTCAAAGTGTCACACCGAGCAGGCTGCTGAAGGGCCATGCTGAAGTTTACAGGATGGCACAGAAGAACTTCTTCTCCCTGAACGGGTTCTCTGACGCTGGAACCGGCGATAGCAGAGGGTCCTCTTTGGCGTGAGCTTCGCAGTACGACATCAGGTCCGCCGCCGCTTTGGACACCTGCGATCACACACAAACACACACGTATCTATGAGTACATGCCGACGGACAAAGACAAGGTTTTAATTTCCCTTCAGAGAGAGATGAGAAGAGCCTGTGCTGCTCCAAGTTTGTACAGTAAACATGTACCACAGCCACAAAGTAAATACTCACTTAACTTTGTTTGTGGTTTAAAATGCATGTTATCTTTAACCTCTTAAGCCCTGGTGTCCACATGCATAGACATCACAACTTGGGTTATATGGCCACAGCTGTAATTTTTTTGTTTTAATGTTTAAACTCAGAGCTCAGGTCTTAAGCGTTTTTTTAAAAAATCATCCAAATTGTACCATTTATCAGAGCAGCAAACTCTAAAAACAGAACAAATCACGTGTTCCACTGAGAAAAGTAACCAAATCCAAGATTAAAATCATCAAAATCACTTTATTCTACGTGTCTCGTTTTAATAACCACCTAATAATCAAACCAAAGTACCATTTCATTTCACCAAACCTGCTCTTTTTAAAATGCTGAGAAAAGTTGGAGCCATGGTCAGTGGTTTAAACCAAATACAGATGTGAGGGATGGTAAATGGACATTAAAACACTGATTCATGTCATTTGCTGTCTCATAACAAACAGCATCAAATATCAAGTCTGAGCAGACGTTTTCTTTACAGCAGACATATTGCATTTTTTATCATAGTAGGAGAAACACACACACTTTATTCCATCTCAAATCATCTTCTGCTGGACTTGAAACTGCTTGAAACTTTCTTTAAAATCATAAACTGTGGACATATTTTTTAGATCGCCCGTTGACCAACTTTTAGTTTTTTCTTTAAGTATCTTCAGAGTTGAAACTCAGGAACTATTGAAGATAAAATCTTGAAATTCTCACTGTTTTCACTTTAATAGTTTCTGAGTTTTTGACGTTCAAACATTCAAAAAACATGCTTAAAGTGAGTTTTTAAAAATATCATCTTGGAAAGTATTTAATATATCAAGCTCAAATTTCATAAATATCTTTATACACGTCCATATCTTATGCTGTGAAAAAATTCAGGCACATCCGGGACAGATGGATGGAATGATTCTTTTCTAAGTTCTGCAGTTTGACGTTCCAGGTCCTGGACGACACACTTGTGAATGTTAATCAGCGTTATTAGCAACACGAGGAGCACGGTGTCAAACTGAGGTCAGCAAATATAGCATAAAAAAACTTTTTTTGTCTTATCTCGGTCACCAGCGACAAACCATACGCAGGAAAAATAATTATTGTGTTAACCTTCATTTTAAAGCAAGAAAACTGAAACTTGCAACCACAGCTGCTGTCATGTGATCATTTATCCTTTACTACTTGCATAAAATGTCGTGTTTTCCACTCTTGGATCTTTGAGCTACTTTCCCGAAGTCAAGAATCAGACTGGAAACCACATCTGTAAAAAAGCTCAATTCTGCAACTTTCACTCCTCTAAAGCTGCTAAAATAAACACTGAGCTGATGGAGAAACTCATACAAGAGGAAGTTGGTTAAAAATAATTTGCATTTTATACGATATGAGCCTTTATTAGTCCCATAGTGGGGTGATTTGCATTGATACGGCAGCAAACGGTAAACAGAGCACACATTGAAGGAATATTATAAACAAAAAATACACATATGGACGAGCTGAGGTTGTCCAGATGGACATAGATAGATAGAAGGTTATTGATCCCTTTGGTAGAACCTCAGGGAAATGGTTGAATAAACAATAAACAATAAAAACATATGAGGTGTGTCAGAAAAGTTCCAGGACTGGTGTCACAAAAGATAGATTTCAAACCACGATCAACCAACACGTCTGAGATCCTGCAGCGTTTGCAGTGAGAGTTGTGGCCGGACAACTCGTGGCTGCTTCACCATGACAACGCACCTGCTCACAACGCCCTGAGCATCCCACAGTTCCTGGCTGAGAAGAACATCTCTGTGCTGGAGCAACCTCC